GGCCCTATCAGAAACCCCATCTGCAGCTTTATGGCCTGCTGTCATGGACACTGAGGGGGCTCTGTTTCCTAAACTCGCTGAAACCAATACCTCCGCATTTGTAATTAGATTTCACTGCTGCTAAAAGTTCCAGGCTGACAGGTCACCAAAACAAAAACCCAATCAGAGGTGAAAGTGATACGGATCGTAAGTGATGCAGGCCGGCCGGCTTTCAACCTCTCTCTGGCCGCTGGCATCAGATAACACCGGAATCTTTGTTGATTGTCGTGATGGAGTGACACTCGAGTTGATGCAGGAGAGAAGCCTGCCACGTGTGGAGCAAGCTCTCTCTGCGGTGAAGATGGCCCCTCTCTGTTGCCGAGGGCCCCTCTGCAGCGACGATGGCTCCTCTGTGGCGACGATGGCCCCTCTCTGTTGCCGAGGGCCCCTCTGCGGCAACAATGACCCCTCTCTGTCTATTTCCTTTCCATGCCTGCCATCACTCAGCTGCTGACCTCCACCGAGCTCCTCGGCTCATGTGGACATTTCACTTTCCCTCATTTTTACACACTTCACTCAGCAGGCGTGGAGATAAAGTCAGCGCAGGCCCCTCTCCACTGGAGGACCTGAGTGAGAGGGAGTCGAGTAGCTCCAGAAGGCTCAGCTCTCAGCAGGTACACACATACAGAGCAGCAGCTTTTTAGGTGGCTCCTTTACTGTGTGGGACAAAGACGAGGTAAAACCGCTTCAGCGTTGCTTTTCCTGCCAAATTTCTATTCAGTACTTGTGAGGAGCATTCAGATCCTTTACTTCGGAAAAATAAAGAAATGAAAAAAGGTTAAAAGTTCTGCATTCAAACTCACACTGACTCGTTGCAAATGCTGCTCTTCAAACTAACTGCTCAGGCTGTTGCCATCCAGATGTTTTCTCAAACATCTGGTCAGGTAAGGCCAATGAGAGGTAAAGTAAATAAAAGAATTCAGTTCTTGATTTTTAATAAATCTACAATAATGTCTATAACCATGTTTTCACTTTGTCTTCGTGGGTAAACTGAACAAAAATGGAGATTTTATAGATTTTAATTTAAATTTAAATTAAACCTGCATCATAATAAAGTGAATGGGTCTGAAAATACAGGTTCAAATTTCTAGAAGATGTTTTTTTTTTTTTTTAAACTT